CATTTCTTCCTTAACAATATCTAATTTTCCTACATTCATGGTTCTCACATTCCATGTCCCAATCACCAGTGTCTGCTTACAACTGTTCCTCTTTAAGCTCACAAATATATACTAAATTATTAAACCCATTGAATACTCTTTGTGTTCCTTGTTTTGATTGTCATCCTATCCACCTTTAATATTGTTGACTATTTCTCTGTTAAGTAATATTTTACCATCTTAGTTTCTACTGCCCCATATGCTTCTGATATACCATGTAATCAGGAACTGTACAAACATTTCTTCTTGTTTTTATTATGCAGTTGTCTTTTTCCATTTTCCCTAGCCTATGTAAATGATCTATATGCTTTTATACCAGGACTCCCATTAATCAATTGTTAATCAATGACCAAAATATACTGTAGATAAAGAATCAAGTGCTATCTTAGGACCTTATCAATTTTTATTTTAATCAGGGTGTAGGAAATGTTTGAGCATGCAATATTTGCATTCTTTTTGTCTTTTACTCAGTGTTTGAGATTCCTCAGGATTTGAAAGTTAGTACCCTTTTCTATCTTTTCAACTTGTTGCCATTTACAGGTCTATATTTTTGTTTAATTTCCTTGTTTAACCCATCCATTACTACTTAGACAATTCTGACTTCTCGCCACACACCATTGGATTTCCCTGACTGCTTGTTTGTTTGTTTGTTTTATTTCCCTGCACTAACTGGAATATTTAGCCTTTCTCCAACTACCTCTTTGCTCTGTCTTATTTGTTTATTTGTATTTTTGGGTATTCAAAATTTGGTGTTGTGTCTGTTGCTGTTATGTACCATAGAATCATCTATGACTCATAGCATCAAAGGGTCACTACAAGTACTTTGTCTATACATAAGAAGACAAAATCCCTGCGATCTAGGCAATTCCAACTCCTGGTGATCCTTTATTAGGTTTTGGAGGCTGTAAAACTTAGTGAGAGAGGAGACTCTCTATCTTACTCATAGAGACTGGTCGATTTGACTGTTTTGTTAGCAGTCTCGCACGTTGTACAGTATACCACCAGAATGCCGTCCTTGATATCTTATTACATATTTGCCAAATAGGATGAATAATGCACTGTAGGAACTTCTTAAAAGAAAAAAACCAAATAACAAAACACCCTCATAAAGATTGTAAGAGAATATTAACGCAGTATTATATACTGGTACTGGTGGGATAAAAAAATGCTACTGAGCATTGTGCTGAAGTTGTTGTTATGTACCATTGAGTCGGAACCGACTGATAGTTGACCCTCTGGTGGATTTTCAGAGGCAATAAATCTCATAGGAAGAGATATTACCCATCAATCTCCTGAAAATTCACTGATTTGAACCATATGTCTTTAGATTGGTGTTGCAGTACCTTATTAGTAAGCCATCAGAACTCAACAGTATACCAATGTAATGTGTCCTAAATCCAACCTTGTGGAAACTTGAGGTCTCATTTTTGTCCTTCTTTTTTAATTTATTCTCAACTAGTTTATTTACAAAATTTGAATACATTGTTTTCAAGAACAAATTCTTTCTATTTCCCTCATCCTCCCCCCAAATTGTACAACCTCATGATTAATCCCGCCTCCCCATGCACATCCTACCCCTCCGCTTCCACCTTCTCCCACTCCTCTTGGATTCTTATACTCATTCTACGATAATGGATTTATACAATATTAGTTTTTGTGGGACTCAGTTAGTTCACTCAGAATAATGTTTTCCAGTCCCTCCCAAGTTAGGTAATAATTTACAAAATCATTACTCCTGCATGCTACATATTATTCCACGTGTGAATGTACCATATTTCTCAATCCATTCTATTGTGGTTGGACATTAGGGTTGTTCCCATGTTCTTGCAATGGTGAATAATGCTTTTATGAACATTGGTGTACAAATCTCCATTTGTGCCTCAGTTCTATTTTCTCAGGGTATATTCTAAAGGGTGGAATAGCTGGGACATATGGAATTTCTATGTTCAGCTTTTTGAAGAAGCAAGGAAGCTTAATTTCCCAACTCTCAAGTCCTATACTTGAAATTCACAAAATGACTGCACTTAACATCAACAGACTGATAGGTTTAAAAACTTTCTTTGTTGTTATGACGGTTTTTTCCTCTTCAGTCTTACTACTTTGCAATTTTGTGTTTTCATTTGACTTCAACTCTATAATTTTAACAGATTTTTAACTTTCATAGTTTTTTTTCAGCATCTCTATATATTCATAATGGGAGGTATGGTCAGATCACCTTAGTCTGCCAAACCAACAAGGGTTGTACAAAACACTTACATAATTTTGTTTTCAGAAGTTAAAAGTAGAACTTTGAAGCCCGAAGAGAATTCTGATTAGAATACTATTGTCTCTTTGTTAGCATCAAACTACATTTTTACAAAGTTAAATGAAATTAAAATATTCATCTGTAAACTTACCATGTTATAATCAGCAACAATGAATAGTTCGATATATTTTTCCTTATGGATTCTCTAGAAATTTATGGAAAATTTGATTAAAAATTATTAACATTATTTTCAAAGTATGAAATATGAATGTTATTGATTTGGAAGGTTAGGTACAAGGCTATATTCAGTATTTCTATAAATCTGTCTAGATTTTATTAAAAAGTATGGTAATTTACACTAAATTTTAATAAACCCAAAGCAACATCCCTTATTTGGTTTTTCTTTCTTTGTTTCATATTTAGTAAAATACATAGAGTATAGGCTCATGAATGTAGTTATTTATAGGTTTATTCTTTTTTATTTCATTTTTATATAAGATATAGATTATAAATAGATTCATTTATCTAGCGTTTAGTTCTTTTTTTCACTAAGTAAAACAAAAGCCCTTGTAAAAAAATATGCATCTATAACCTGCTGTTAGAGACCTCTCTAAAGTGCTCAAGAGCAACTGTGTCTCTCTGAAGACTAAGGTGTGTCTGATACAGGCCATAGTCTTTGCAATCGCTTGTTATGCATCAGAGAGTTGGACAATGACTAGGGAGGACAGAAAGAGAACTGATGCCTTTGAGCTGTGGTGCTGAAGAAGAGTATTGACTGTACCATGGACTGCCAAGAAAACAAACAGATTCATCCTGGAGAAGGTTAAACCAAGCTATTCTTTGGAGGCAAGGATTCTGGGGCTTTGTCTGACATACTTTGGGCATGTAGCAAGGAGGAACAGGTCCTTGGAGAGGGACGTCATGCTTGGGAGGGTGGAGGGGACGGTGCAAGAGGGTAAGACCCTCTATAAGATGGAATGATTCAGTGACTGGGGTAATCAGGATGGGAGTGTCAGAGACAGTGCGATTGGCACAGGATAGAGCAGGGTTTAGGGCTGTTGTACATAGGGTCGCTATGAGTTGCAAACGACTCGCCAGCACTTAACAACAACGACAAAAACAACAACATAACCTGAAAATAGAACTAATGAAACTAACAGCATCAACTTATAAAAATGCTGCAAATTATATACCATTCATTTTTTACAAAAATGTTGTTTTTATTTTTAGTACATGTGCATTTAGGTTATTTAAATCTCTGAGTGAAAATCTGAAACACCACGCACTGTTTTGTGGACTAAGTAATCTTTCTTCCACAGTTGTGTTGTTATGTTATGTTATGTTATGTTATATTCATTCAATAAACATCCACAGAGCATCTGCTATGTTCCAGAGAGCTTTCTGAATAAGGACTACACCATTGTGAAACAGCTAAACACTAATGTGGTTTTCAGGTTGTTATAGGGAAGCTAATGGGCTCAGGTTTATGAAAGATGCTGAGTTTGGCACAGAATAGAGCAAGGTACAGATCCATTGTTCATAGGGTCAGTATGAGTCATAGTTGACTTGAAGGTACCTAACAACAACAACAACACAAATAGAGTCTCTAGAAGAGGGGAAGTAAACTAAATTAGAAGAAAAACTAACAGAGGTATCACATATACAACCACCATATCTGAAATGAAATTGTTACCCTTAATTGTCTTTACCAAATTAAAAGATATGACTAGTTGAAAAGAGAAAAAAATGATTTATCATCTATAAATAACATCAACTCCCAGAAACTGAAAGAGAAGATAGCATTTTAAATTTGTTGTCTCTAACCTCTGATAAAACTTTAAAACTATATACATAAGAAAAGTTATGCAAATCTACATATAGAATTTTTGGAACCCTGATTTTTTTAAGTTGATGAAACAAATTTTGAATTACAACAGAAAATAAATTTCTTCTAGATAACAAATATTTTTTAATAATTGACATTGCAGGTTTTAAACAATAAGTAATCAGACACACTTCATCAGCTGGGTTTGTAGTCTGTCTCCAGATTGTAAAGAACTAAACAAGTATTTTTCTTAGGGAAATACGATTTAAAAGATAAAGCACTCACTTCCATTTTGTTGTTTTCCATGGGTTTAATATTAGTGCTTGGAACAGTTTCCCTGGTAAAATTGAAGTCATTACAGGAGTAATTGGTGGCATACTGTATCTTCGGATTATATTTGAACACCAAATGTTCTCCCTCATCTGTGTATTTCACTGGCTCAATGAGGTACCTGAGATCATTTACTCTGAAGAATCCCCTATAGAAATTAAGAACAAAAAACATACTCAAGAACTATAAATATTCTATTGGTACCTTATTAATTTTACTTCTCACAGAAGAGAAACGATCAGATCTAGAATATAACTAGTGAGAATGCTGACACAGTGTGAAAAACATGACTAATGTCACTGAACAACTTGTATAGAAATTGGCAAAAGAGAGCATAATTTGCTGGATAAACAGAATAAAATATTTTAGAACAAGAAAGAAAGCTGCATGCCTCATGAGCATGTCGTGAGGCACATTGGGTAGGAAAGAAATGAAAAGACATAGTATTTGGCCAAATAATGTTCAGTGAAATTTAACACTTCTGTATTTTCACAAGTTTAATAGCGACCTACTACTCTGAAATGTTGATAGAATGGTAATTTACAGTCTGTGTACTTAGACACCAGATAGCCTCACAGTTTTTTCAAGTAACTTGTGAGTATTCATATCTACCATGCATTAATTTATACTAAAACATGAAGGTAAAAAAAATTCATTTGGTAGTTTTGCCACTAAAAGGCTTTTCATTCTTGGAAAGAGGCGAGACTATTAAAATGAAGTCATCATAAAGACAGGCAGGTGTTTCTTTTTCCTATTCCCTTTGTATCCCAAAATATTCCCCCTTTTTCCTTGAGTGAAAATTGAACAGAGAATTGTAATTTTTGTCTGTGATCCTCAAATCAAACTCATTGCCATCAAGTTGGAATCAACTCACAGTTGACCTACTAGCAGGTTTTCAAAGGCTGAAAAGCACATGAGAGGAGTTTGTGATCTTTTTCCCACAGAGCCCCTGGTGGAGAGATATGTACTGCCAGAGATATCAGACTCTCTATTAGACAATGACACGACGGCTCCGGTTTAAGGTTAATTCTTCAGCTTTCCTTTAAGCAAGAACATGAATCAATTGGCCAGCGCTAATAAACATTCATTTCTAGGGCCATATAGTACATCTTCTACAATTAGGTTTTCTATTTACTAAGACCTTCAAAGAGATATTCTGGTGGTACAATAATTAAGCATTTACTTTCCAACAGAAAAATTGAAAGTTCAATCCCAACAGCCACTTGGGAGAAATGTGTGATAGACTGATGCTTTAAAGGTTTTAAACCAAATGATTGCCACCTGTTGGCCTTTATCATGTTCCCAGGAGAAGATCTTTCTCCTTCACAGTGACTGACATACTCAAAGTTCTGATCTTTCAGTTGGTAGCACAACAAGGTACCTGAAAAGGTAGCCCTGGAAAACAGCATATAGTGGTTCTGTTCCAGGTCAATATTAGGTAGAAGTTACTCATTAGCAATGACTTAAAGGTTACTAAAGGGTAATAATTAAATTGAGGTAGATGTCTTCAAGAATCTACAGAGAAATTCATCAAGGAAAACAGAAGATACACTATTACCTGAGACCATAACAGGTGCTGATACTGGCAGCTGAATCTAATTCATGTATGATGGATCCTTGGTAAAAACAATGTTCCTAAATGGATAAAGATGTTACTAACATAAATATTAGCATGATATAAATAGTAGTACAACTATTAATTTGTAAATATTTCCGTTCAGAATGTATCAATATCTCATTTCAATTAATTCCATTTATTTATCCTTTGCATGCATCTATTTGGGAACAGTTGAGTCTGATTTAGGATTCTTTTGAAACATCTTAATTGTCTGATTTCTTTTAGTACTTCAATGTATGTATGTATTCTCTACTCAAAAAATAAACAATTGTCAACTTCAGAAATATTATTCTTTTCCTTAGAAATATGATTCATTTAATCTATCAAATATTCAGAAACAAAGTCACCTACCTATGCTTACATTATCTTTTCTCTATTTGTAGAATTAAGCCTAGATTCTTAGGCTTTTTCTGATTGTGTCTCATCCTTCCACCACATTTCTTCCTACCCTGTTTCTCCTTTTTTTAATCAAGTGGCATCTTGGGTAATTGTTGTTCCTCTCATTTCTGTCTTTTTAAACTCTTGCTGATCTACTTTCTGCATTCACCAGGGGCCTGAGACTTTCACAGACCATTCTCTACCCTTTACAGCAAAGAATTTTACTCCGTTTTCTTTTGTCCTATTTTACAGATAATGCATGATGATTTAGGATTTATTGAAATTAACAAATACCATTGGTAGATCTAATATATTTTCAAAACTATATTTTCGACAATAGAGAGTAATACTGACTTCATATAAAAGACTGCAGAGGGCATTTCTTGGGAAGGCAATTGAGGGCATAAAAATAGTTTTCAACAGACAGGTTAAATAAAGATTCATTTGAAGATGAGACCTCAGTATTGGTGCATCTGAAGGAATGGTAAAGGAGATAAGAATAAAGTAAGGAAGTAAGTGTCAAGAAAAGAGAGGTTTTGAAGTGGTTTCATATATTTAAGCTTTATCCATTTGGTTTGATTACCTTCTTATCAATGTACCTTATGCTTCTTTTATATCTCCTATCACCCTTTTCTTGCCAATCACGTGAGACTGAGTTCATAGAATTAATCACTGTGAAAACATTTACAATCACTAAGTTGCTTCTCAAGTAAGCAATGATCACCTTTCCTTTAGGTATTGAGTCATATAATTTATTCTGGTATCATCCAGTTAGGATATCAACCTGGGATTCATTTCTTTTGTAGCATGTTTTGAAGTGGGTTTTTTTTTGTTGTTGTTGTTGTTTTGTGGTTTGTTTGTTGTTGTTTTTTAAACTAGACTAGGGTTTCAAAACCACAGCAGGAAAGAATAGTTTCAAAGAACAAGAGTATTCATTAAAATACCACGACTTGAGGGTGCTGAATCCTCTCTTCTCCTTTTATGGAAGAGTAGATTTCACTGTAATTTGAAGCTATGAGCTCCCTGAAAAAGAGGATAGAATGATAATGACATTTACAAAGCACTTTAGTCACTCTAACCATGTGAAGCAGGCATCTCCAGGCTGCCTCCAAATCTCAGCAAGAGCCTTTTCTCTCTAAACAGGTAAGGAAGATAGAACTAGTTTATAGGAAAACTTTTTTTTTAACCTGGATTTCATGGTTTAACAAACATTGAAAAGACAGAAGAAAAAATCACGCCATTTTAGCAAAATAACATTTTAGGAAGAATTCCAACCCAATTGCAACTAAGTGAAAACTTCTTATATAAGTAATGCATATTTTTTCATTTCATGCTAATTAAATGCCCATAAGTAATTACATTAATATCTGAAATTTAAACTTCAATAGACTAATGAACCAACAAAAAAACTCATTAATAAAAATTTGTTACCTTAAGTGCCAAAATGAAGGAAAAAAATCTCTAAAATACTTATGTATATATGTTTGTTATTGTCATGTGTCAAGTAGCTTCCCTAAATTTTGTTTTGGCTAAAATATATGTTACAGGAAATGTAGAAAAATACAGAACAAATTATTATGAACCCTGCCATTATGATACAACCATTCCAAAAGTGTTGATTATAATTCATATTTACATCAATTGAAATATCAAATAGACCTCCTCAAATATTCAGGAAAAATAGAAAATCAGAAAATTCCTTGTAACTGCCTTGACTAAATTATTATAGAATACTATATCCAGAAACTGCAAAATGTACATTCTTCTGCAGTACACAAAAATACATTCACCTTGTCTGATCATACCTTTGACCACAACATTTGTTAATTTAAAAAAAAAATTAAAACTATTATAGTGCAAACCATATACTCTATTGACAAATATATAACTTAAAAAATTAATAACCTAAAAAATTGATATTTGAATACAACACAATTTTAAATAACACACTAGTCAAAGGAGGAAATTAGAAATTATAAATATTTTACTTGAATGCTAATGAAAATATAGCATCCCAAAATTTGTAAAATACACTTAAAATAATGCATTAGAAGAAATACTTTGAACTTTTTCAAAGTTTTAGAAATATTTTCCAGCTGCACTGGAAAAGATGAAAAGTTTCAGGAAGAAGAGGAAAACAGCTCAAAAGGATTGGTGAGAGAAACAGAAAGTAGAAATAATTAACAAAGAAAATTTAGCTTTCTGAAAAAACGATCACAAATTGACAAAACTTCTTAGATTGATAAGGGACAAAAAGGGAGAATTTCAATTGCTAATATTAAGAATGAAAGAACACTATAATAATTCAGATGTTAAGAGTCAGAGAACTATATTAAACACTTTATTCCAAAAAGTCTAACAATATATATGAAACAGACATTGTCTTTGAAAAAATATTATCATAAAATTTTCAGAAAATGAAGCAAACAATTTGGATAACCTACTACCTATTAAAGAAACGGAATTGAGTACAACCTCTGTACCTAAAACACACACACACACACACACACACACACACACACACACCCTTCCAGACACAGACAGTTTTATTCATTAATGCTGTCAAATATTAGAAGAAAAAGCATCATTTCTTAAAAGGAGCACTTAAAATGTAAATGAGAGAACAGTACTTAGATCATCTTATGAGACCAAATCTTAAAATCAAAACCCGATAAAGACATTACCAACTATTAAAGATTAATATCTATCATTAAAATACTTGCAAAGTTTCTCAACAAAATATTTGCAAATTAATGATAGCAATATATTTTAAAATATATTGATGTCATTCTATATTGCTATTGCTGTTGTTGTGTACCGTTGAGTTGGAACCTACCCACAGCTGTCCCTCTAGTGGATTTGCAGAATCAGTTTAATCACAGAGGAGGAGATTGCCTATCTTTCTCACATGAAGCAGCTGGGGGATTTGAACTTTGTGCCTTCAGGATTACAGTGCAGCTTCCTTACCACTATGCCACAGTGCTCCCTATATTGCTATATGTATGCTTTTATTAAATCATATATAATAAATCTCTCCTTGTCATTGAGTTGGAATGGACTCACCATTGACCCTTCTTCCTTAATTGGATGTCTGAGGCTGCAAACTACCTGGCAGGACATTATTTTTCTTGCTCCTGAGAAACTGTACTCCAACATGCACAAAGATTTGACCTTTAGTTAGTAATACAAATGTTTTTGGACTATGCCCCAGAGGTGCAAGGATGAATTAACAATGGTATTCAGATTAGTATAAATAACTCAATTGTCATTTTAATATCTTAAATCTCTTAGCAGATCTTTCAAGAAAGTAGCTGGTGACTTCTAATTTCCAGCCTTTTTCTTTACTACCAGATACATTGTGCCCTACAATTCCAGGGCACTTAATTATTATTACATGTTGGTTTTTTTTATTGCCAAAGAGGGGGAGTCAACTAATTGCTGACCCATCAGCAGGTTTTCAGAGGCTGTAGTCACACAGAAGGAGATAGAAACCACAAAAAATTAAAACCAGAAATAAAACAATTGTGTTTCCAGAAGTACACAAACATCAAAATATTTAGAAATAAATTTAACAAAAGACATACAAGAGTCAGAACAAACTCAAAACTTCTTTAATTTCCATCTAGCATTTTATATATAGAAATTAGAGAAACTATGAATTGATTTGGACCTTATCCTAATGAGTTTGAGTTTTTAAAAACTATATGGACTGCTACAAAAACAAACAGATTCATCCTGGAAAGGGTTAACTCAGGTGGCTCCTTGGAGGCAAGGATTCTGAAGCTCCATCTAACATACTTTGGACATGTGAGGAGAAACCAGTCCTTGGAGAGCGACATCATGCTTGGGGGGGGGGCTGAAGGGACAGCACAGGAAGGGAAGGCCCTCTATGAGGTGGACTGATTCAGTGACTGGGATAATTGGGATGGGAGTGTCAGAGACAATGCAACTGGCACAGGACAGAGCAGAGTTTAGGGCTGTTGTACATAGGGTCACTATGAGTCGCAGGTTACTCGACGGCACATAACAACAATAGAAACAACAACAACATAGATTTATAGAACTACGGGGTTGCTTTCATAGCTAAAAAAGTAATTTCTAGATCTATCTTGAAGGACATACGCTTATAAGGAAGTCCAGTGAATACCACATCATTCAGATATCTGCACCAACAACCAGAGCCAAAGAAGAAGAAATAGATGATTTCTACCAACTTTTACAGTCAGAGATAGATCGAACATGCAATCAAAATGCATGGATAATAATGGGTGACTGGAATGCAAAAGTTGGGAACCGAGAAGAAGAATCAGTAGTTGGAAACATGGGCTTGGTGACAGAAATGAAGCTGGAGATAGAATGATCGAATTTTGTACAATCAATGACTTATTCATTGCAAACACGTTTTGTAAGAAACATAAACACAGGTTATATACATGGATTTCACCTGACGGTATGCATAGGAATCAGATTGATCACATCTGCAGGAAAAACCCCTGGAGAAGCTCAATTATTGGCTGTGAAAACTAGGTCAGGAATTGACTGTGGAACAAACCACCAACTAGTCTTATGCAAGTTCAAGCTGAAGCTGAGGAAAATTAAACTGAATACGCAGAAGCCAAAGTATGACTTTGATTTCATCCCACCTGAATTTGAGAATCATCTCAGAAACAGGTTTGAGGCCTTGAACACTAATGAAAGAAGACCAGATGACTTGTGGGAGGATGTCAAAGGTATCATCCAGGAAGAGTGCAAACGGGCATAACAAAGACAGAAGAGGAAGAAAAGACCAAAATGGATGTCAGAAGAAACTCTGAAGATTGCACTGAAGCGTAGAGAAGCCAAAGCACAAAGAAGAATTCAAGATACTAAAGACATGAACAGAAGATTCCAAAAGGCAGCACGGAATAACAAAGCAAAACATTACAATGAAATGTGTGAGGAGCTAGAGTCAGAAAATCAAAAGGGCCGAACTCGTTCAGCATTTCTTAAGCTCAAGGAACTGAAGAACAAATTCAAACCTAGAGTTGCTATAATCAAGGATGTTTTAGGCAGAATATTAAATGATCCAGGAAGTATTAAAAGAAGATAGAAGAAATATACTGAGTCATTGTATCGAAAGGAATTGGCAGATACAGAAGAATTTAATGAAATAACATTTGAACAAGAGCTTGTGGTGATGAAGGAAGAAGTTCAAGCTGCTTTGAATAGCAAAAAATAAGGCCCCAGGAATAGATGATATACCAATTGACATATTTCAGCTAACAGATGCTGCGCTGGATGTGTTCACCAAGCTGTGCCAAGAAATCTGGAGAACAGCGAATTGGCCAACTGACTGGAAGAGATCTATATTTGTTCCCATTCCAAAGAGGGGTGACACAACAGAGTTTGGAAACCACAGAACAATATCACTGATTTCACATGCAAGGAAGATTCTACTGAAGATTATCCAAAAGTGACTGGGAAAAGCACATCAGCAGAGAATTGCCAGAAGTCCAGGCTGGGTTTAGAAGGGATGGTGGTACTAGGGATATTGTAGCTGGTGTTAGATGGATCTTAGCTGAAAGCTAAGCAATGACTAGGGAGGATAGAAGGAGAATTGATGCCTTTGAGCTGTGGTGCTGGATAAGAGTATTGAATATATACCATCGACTGCCAAGAAAACAAATTCACTCTGAAGAGGGTTAAACCAGGCTGCTCCTTGGAGGCAAGGATTCTGGGGCTTCGCCTGACATACTTTGGACATGTTGTAAGGAGGGACTGGTCCTTGGAGAGGGACATCATGCTTGGGAGGGTGGAGGGACGGCGCAGGAGGGGAAGACCCTCTATGAGGAGGATTGATTCAGTGACTGGGGTAATCGGGATGGGTGTGTCAGAGGCAGTGCGATTGGCACAGGATAGAGCAGGGTTTAGGGCTGTTGTACATAGGGTCGCTATGAGTTGCAAACAACTCAAGGGCACATAACAACCACCACAACTGAGATTTATAGGAATAAAATATTGCTATTATAATCATTACAATAAAG